CCCCAAAACCCCAAAACCCCAAAACCCCAAAACCCCAAAACCCCATGTTAGTATAAATATACTGAAATATTTAAATTCGCAGGTACCTATAATATTTAAAATGTCTGGCAAGATAAATATGTCGGGAGGAAATCCTTTCTGGATGACTATCAAGAGTAACTTTTCAATGGACGATAAACTATCTGATCTCCTCAAGTCCCCAGATGTTACTGTTGAAGATCTATTGCTCGAAGATAATACAGTACAGGAGATTAGGAACGGCAACCAGAAAGTTATTGAGTTTTTGTTAAAGAAAAAGAATATGAAAGATCTACTTAGCTACATCCTTGAGGAACCTCCAGCTGATGCTTCTCACAACAGAGGTCATAAATTCCCCTTTATGGTCAGTGAGATTTTTGGAAATTCTATGAGCAAGCTCTTCGGAATCTTTTTCTCAGACGAGCCCGAAGAAGACCCTAGCAACGCTAAGAACGATGAAGACGAAGGAGATGAAGAGACTACTGAGGAAGAAGGTGACAAAGAAAGCCCCACAAGCGAAGATGTTGACAAGATAAAATCCCTCCTCAAAATCAAACAAGCAATCATGAAAGAGCAGGAACAAGAAAAGCCAACTGAAAAAGAGCCTGAAGATAAGAAAAATTTGGAAGAAAAAGCCCCTGAGACAACAGATGAGCAAGCTGAAAATACTCAAGAGGCAGATACTGACAAAAAGGATGAGCCTGAAGACCACAAAGAAGAGTCTGAAGACCACAAAGAAGAGTCTGAAGACCACAAAGAAGAGCCTGAAGAGCAGCAAGAGAAGGCTGAGGTAGCCCAGGATACACTCGAAGACCAACATGAAGAAAAAGAAGCAGCTGAAGAAGAGAAATCTGAAGAAACAGAACAACCTTCTGATACTAAAGAACCAGTTGAAGAGAAACAGTCTACTGAACCTGCAGCTGATCCTGAGAAAGAAAGTGAGGAGGAACCTGAGAAAACCGAAGAGCAAAATCCAGCAGAAGAGAATGTAAATGACACTGAAGCTGAGAAGAAAGAGGATGTTCCAGATTCGGAAGAAGTCAAGGAAAAACAAGAGGAGGACTCAGTTTCCAAATCTGATGAGAAAGTAGAAGAAACAGAATCTCCTAAAGAAGCAGAAGAGCCTGAAAAGAATGAAGCTCCAGAGGAGGAAGAGCAGAAAGAGGCCGAAGAGCCTGATAATACTTCTGAGCCAACCATTTCAAATGATGAAAAAGTTATAGAAACTTCTGAAGAATCGAATCAAGAGAAAGTGCCTGAAGATAGTACTAAAAATGATCAGACTCCATCCGAGGAAAAGGAAGAACCTTCTGAAGTCACCAAAGAACAGACTGATGAAAAGGAAGAGACCACTGATGAAAAGGAGGAAGCTGCTGAAGAGAAGGAAGAAGAGGACAAGCCTGAAGCTTCTCAAGAAGAGGAGAAAGAAGAAGCAGTATCTCCGGCTCCTACTGAGCAAATAGAGGAAGACCCAGAATTAAAGAAGCCAATCACTGAATATTTAGTCGATTTTATCCGGACAGATGAGGAACTAAATCCGGTTCTCTGTGGGTATTTCTGCAAACTTTTGAATACCATTATCACCCAGAATAAGGAGAAGTTCTTCTTGTATGCCTTTGATCCTGCAAACAGCATGATCGAGCACTTCACCAAGCATGTATACAACAGAAGTATTGCTGATCTGTTCATTAGAATTATTAAAGACTGTAATGAAGATGCTTCGACCAAGCTTGAAATTCTTTCTGGAATAATAGATGGTATCGAGTCCCAACAGTATGAAGGAAAACTCAACTCTGCTCATATCATAAAGGAGCTAATGGAGATCAAGAATATCCTAGAAGTGCTCAAGGAAAAGGAAATCAATGTTAAGCTATTTGATCTGCTGAAATCAGACGATGAAATGACTGTCCAAGTTGTCCTAGACATCTTAAACACTTTGTATAAGAAGTTCCCCTTCTATGTGCCAAAGAAGAGCAATGATGCTGAGGAGGATGAGTTCGCAAAGAACTACTTATCCTCTAGCGATACTGACGAAATGGTTATCATTCCATATATAGATAAGCTACTCATTGAAAAGTTACCCTTGGTCGAAGAAATCCTTGAAAGAGAGACCGATTCAGTCCTAGAGCAGCAGTATGGGGAAACTATCAAGCCATTTGGAGCAGTTAGGATGGGAATTACAAGATTTATTGCTAATATCATTGCTGTCGGAAGTCAAGACTATGCTCTCAAGCTATCATTATGCCTACCATATCTACTCAAATACTGTGTTGAATATCCTTGGAACACAATGCTTCATAACTTGGTCGAACAAATATTCGAGGAGATCTTTAAGGCAAATTCAAAATACAAGGATGATATCAGAACAGCTCTGTTAGTAGAGACTTCAGTCACTGATTTCATTACTGACTGTGCTATCGAGACAGAGATGAAGGGCTCAGGTAGAAATATCAGAACAGGTCTTATTGCTACAGTTATCAACATTGCAAATATCTTGAACAACCACAAAAGTGAATACGTTCAGGAAGAATTGAAAAAGAATGAGAAATGGACTACTTTTGTAGACACTGAGCTCAAGTATTCAAATGAAAACAACGAGAGAGCTCTGGCTGGCCATCAAAGTAAGACTGGAGACTCTGATGACGATTCTGCTAACTACCAGACAAGCATGGATAAACTCTTTGCTGCTTTCACCAGTTTAAAAGAATCTCATGATAGTAGCAGAGAGTTATCAGACTCAGATGAAGAGGAAGAAGACCAAAATACTGACAATATTCTTGAAGGCATCGATTCCTCTGAGGATAAGAAAGATCAGAATGAGAAAGAGCAGACTAAGGAAAAGGCTTCAGAGGAACCTGAGAACACTGAATCTGTAAAACAAAGCAAAGATGTAGAAGATACCAAAGAATCAGATGATAAGCAAGAAGCTGGGAAACCAAAGGACACTCAAGAGATTAAGGTCTCTGAGGAAGCCCAAGAGACTGAAAATGCTAAGAACCCTGAAAATACTAAAGGGTCTGAGCATTTCAACAAGTCTGAGGAAGTTCAAGATACCGCAAAGGTTGAGAACTCTGAAGATATTCAAGTTTCTAATGATTCCAAGCCTTCTTTAGTTGGTCAACAACCTGAAGAGGCCTCCGAATCAGAGGAGACAAAACAAACACAACCAGAACCTTCTGCTAGTCCATTAGATTCCCCCCATATCAAATCTAATGACGAAGAAGAGGAGGAAAATAAGCAGCAAAAGTCCAAACTTTCTTCATCAAAGAGCCTTCCTATAGAAAATCTACAGGAAATGCTTGAGGAGGACTCATCATATTACGATGCTTCCTATTGGGATGTTGCTCCTACATTCAAGTTGGAAGACATTGACTGTTAATTTCCTCCATAATTATGTATTCTTTTCATACAAATAATCAGATTTTGAATTCACTGTTTCAGTCTTATGGCTTAGTTTAGGGGTTTTGGGGTTTTGGGGTTTTGGGGTTTTGGGGTTTTGGGGTTTTGGGG